ATATATATATATATATATATATATATACATTCATATATATATATATATATATATATATATATATATATATATATATATATATATATATATATATATATACATATATATATATATATATATATATATATATATATATATATATATATATATATACATATACATATACATATATATATATATATATATATATATATATATATATATATATATATATATATATATATATATATATATATATATATATATATATATATGATATATATGGGTGTGTGTATACGTATATTTATATATACACACCATATATACGTACCAAATACTACATGCATACAAATAAAAAACAACACACACATGTATACATATATACATATATATGTATGTATATGTGTGTATGTGTGTGTGTGTGTACATACATATATATATGTATTTGTATTATATATATATACATATGTATATACTTATGGATATAATATATATATATGTATGTGTGTATGTATATGTATACATACTCACACAGACACATACACATACGTATACAAATGTGTACCAAAGCTACATGCATACAAAAAAAAACTAAACCAGACAAAACCAGACTTAACCTTGACGACCCCCCCCCCTACTCTTACCCCCCATCACCCCCCCACCCCCCCTTTCAGACGCACGGACAAGAACCTCAACGATCATTAATATCCCGCCGGCGAAATTGACCGGCATTTGACCGCGAGTGAGGTCAGCGTCCAGGCCAATTAATTAAACGAGATTGACCCCAGCAGGTTGCAGGAGGGACTCGACACGGGCAAGAAGGCTTGATGGATGATGCAACAGGGAAAGATTTTTTATTTTAAGGGGGGGAGGGGAGGCTCCTTTAAGGTTTATTTATGGGGGGGTTTTAGCTGATCGAATTTCGGGGGGTGTTGTTGTAAGGTTGTGTGTGCAGGAGAGTTACTGGGAGCTGTGTGCGTGAAAGGGTTGTGTGTGTGTGCGTGTGTTTTTTTGTTTATATAGACTGAACTATCTATCTGTCCGACTATCTATCTATTTACCTATATATTTAACTATTTATCAATCTATCTTTTTATTTATCTACGTATCTGTCTATCTACTTATCTATTTATCTATCTATCTTTCTATTCATCAGTCTATTTATATACATATCCGGTACGTATATATATGCATTATAAATGTATTTATGTATGTCAGTAGTAGCCATTAAATCATGGAATTATTGTTGCAACAAATTAATATCATTCGGATTAAATTTATTTTGTTTTTATAAATGCCACTATTGAATTTTATGCTTTATGGAATAGAATTAATCAATTGAAGAAATTGTAGTAGAAAAATGATTTCATAAAAAAAAACATTTATTTTTAAGTATTTGTGATGTTTAGCCATTGGGAAATAAATATGTTTTTTTTATGTGCATAAAACACATCCATATATATCTATTTTTCTATATATTCATCCATTCACCCATCTATCTATTTATCTGTATATTATTTATATATCTATCTATCTGTATATTCATCTATTCATACATACAAACATACATACATACATGTAAGACATACGTTCATATATAGATACAAACAAATATACAAACAAACAAGCAAGCAAGCAAATATATATATATATATATATACATACACCCATTCATACATACACACATTCATACATACAAACATATATGCATACAAGCATACCTGTTTACGTGTTTACACATTTGCACGTACACGTCCGTACACACCTACATGTAAGCCACGCACACTTAACTCACATGTAAACCACGCCCACTTAACACACATGCAAGCCACGCCCACTTAACACACATGAAAGCCTCGCCCACCTGACCCACATATAAGCCACGCCCACTTGACCCACACACAAGCCACACCCACCTGACCCACATATAAGCCACGCCCACCTGACCCACATATAAGCCACGCCCACTTGACCCACATATAAGCCACGCCCACCTGACCCACATGCAAGCCACACCCACTTGACCCACACACAAGCCACATCCACCTGACCCACATATAAGCCACGCCCACCTGACCCACATATAAGCCACGCCCACCTGACCCACATATAAGCCACGCCCACCTGACCCACATGCAAGCCACGCCCACTTGACCCACATATAAGCCACGCCCACCTGACCCACATATAAGCCACTCCCACTTGACCCACATGTAAGCCACGCCCACTTGACCCACATGTAAGCCACGCCCACTTGACCCACATATAAGCCACGCCCACCTGACCCACATATAAGCCACGCCCACCTGACCCACATGTAAGCCACGCCCACCTGACCCACATGTAAGCCACGCCCACCTGACCCACATATAAGCCACGCCCACCTGACCCACATGTAAGCCACGCCCACCTGACCCACATATAAGCCACGCTCACCTGACCCACATATAAGCCACGCCCACCTGACCCACATGTAAGCCACGCCCACCTGACCCGCGCTGACCCGCCTGGTGCCTTGCAG